GTGAACCGATTTCACCCATATTCGGTACATGTTATCAAGGTGTAAAGAAAATATTATGTACCGAATTTTATTGAAATCGGTCGAGTACTTCCTGAGATATGGTTTTTGGTCCATAAGTGGGCGACGCCACGCCCATTTTCAATTTTTAAAAAAAGCCTGGATGCAGCTTCCTTCTGACATTTGTTACGTAAAATTTAGTGCTTCTGACGTTTTTTGTTAGTTGGTTAACGCAATTTCAACATAACCTTTGTATGGGAGGTGGGCGTGCTTATTATCCGATTTCTTCCATTTTTGAACTGTATATGCAAATGCCTAAAAGAAACGACTCTATACAGTTTGGTTGACATGGCTATAGTAGTTTTCGAGATATGTACAAAAAAGTTAGTAGGGGGCGGGGCCACGCCCACTTTTCCAAAAAAATTACGTCCAAATATGACCCTCTCTAATGCGATCCTTTGTGCCAAATTTCAGATTAATATCTTTATTTATGGCTTAGTTATGACACTTTATAGGTTTCCGGTTTCCGCCATTTTGTGGGCGTGGCAGTGGGCCGATTTTTTCCACCTTCGAGCTTAACTTTTTTATGGCGCCAAGAAATACGTGTACCAAGTTTCATCATGATATCTCAATTTTTACTCAAGGTACAGCTTGCACGGACGGACGGACAGACAGACATCCGGATTTCAACTCTACTCGTCACCCTGTTCACTTTGGTATATATAATCTTATATCTGACTCTTTTAGTTTTAGGACTTACAAACAACCGTTATGTCAACAAAACTATAATACTCTCTTTAGCAACTTTGTTGCGAGAGTATAAAAATTTAAATATTAAAACAATACGGTAACTTCAAAAGAAACATTTTGAATGAGTCAAAAATTTATACAACATGAGTTGAAACTTTTACAAAGTGAAAATTCTAAACCAAAAAATTTGCGAATTCCAATAAAATAAATGTGTTGTTTGCTCCACTGTGCAGTGTTTTCAAAGGCTTGCAATGCAAATGGGAGCGCAGTAATCGAACAAGCGATCAATATGTAGGGTGTTTGATGGGTGAATGAATCTCGGTACGCGCATTGCAATGCATGCTGCATGCTTCATGTATGTGTGTGTGTATGTGTATATTTTGAAAGCGGTTGGAGCTGTAATTTACTTTTTTCAACTTGCGTTGCGGCAGCTGAGATGCGCGTGTTAGTAGCTGTACTAGTACTATTTTTATTGTTAGTTTTAAAAGTGGTAGTAGGAGCTGAATTCTTGCTTGRAGTAGTAGTAGTAGTTGTGGTTGTTTTTGTTGCAGCAGCACTAGCGGCCGAAATAGCGACATTGTCATGCGTTGCACTTGAATACATTTGATTGACGGCGCAGTCTGTTGCACGGTCTTTGGCGAGGACAACACTTGCCGTTGCAGTGTCAGTAGCAGCAACAGCAGCCAATTGCATTGTTGCTGTTGGCGCGGCTGTCGCTGTCCACACCATCTGCGGTGTAGATGTCACAATTTGCTTGATAACAATTAGAATTTGCGATGAGCGCTTCGCTTCTTGTTGTTGTTTTTCTTGTTGCTGTTGTAACTGTCCATTAACTGCTGCTGTTGTAACGCCAACTTCAACCAAATCGCCGCCTTTTTCTTGTTTCAACTGTTGCTGCAACGCATGACCGCTAGTCTGCTGTTGGTTAGTAGGCGTGGCATGCTGTATAAACTCACTCTTTGGCAATTTGCCCGCAGCTTTGCCGCTTCCGCTTCCCTTTGCTGGTTGCTGTTGTGGTTGTTGTTGCTTTAGCGCGCCAGCATTGTTGTTGCGCTTAAGCGAGAAGCTACTAACAACTTTGGCAAAGGTGGACTGCTGCTTGGCAGCGCCATTGTTGCTGTTGTTGTTATTTTTATAGGCAATTAGCTGGTCATTGGCACCTGCTGGTGGCTTACTGTTGTTGCTGGTGCTGCTGCTCGCAAGCGTAACATCACTAGTGCCAAGCATTTGCGTTACTTCGCTATTTTTGTTCATGTTTGTTGGTGTTGTTTCTGCATTTTTGTGCGTGCTTGCGTCTGTTGCGCTTGCAACACCGCCAGCTGTCGTTGGCTCCTGTTGCTGTAACTCATTTGGTTGTTGTTGCTGTTGGTTTAGTTGTTTTTGTTGTTCTTGCTCCTGTGGCTGCTTGCTTTGTTGTGCCACGCCTTTGGCCAGCTTTTTTTGCTTTTTGGCGCCCTCGACTTTTGCGCCATTCAGCTGCTGGTACTCCTCGTAAATGCTACAACGCTTGTTCGCCTTTGCCGCAGCCGCAGCCGTCGCCGTCGACAGCTTGGCGGCTTTCGTCGTTTTCGAAGATTTGAATATTTTGCTCCACATTTTCTTGCTCATCCTGAGCGCCTTTTATTTGCACACTTTTTCGTAATTGAAATTTCAAGTTAATCGTTATAACGGTTTTTTTTTGCAACAATTGCAATGCACTTGCGCACAAATCACTTTTTGAAATCACTTCTTCACTAAAATATGACCAAAAATAATATATACGTGCGTATGCTTGCGCTTCTCATTGCTTGCACGCTTCACTACATTTCCTCTACGCAGTTCATGGACTGACTTTGTTACGCTTATCGCTGCCATACGTCGCGCGCTCGACACAACTTTACCGTTTCAGCAACAAAATGCGACTGATTGCTCATTGCGAAGTAAATAAAGTGAAGACCACCGGCAAAATGCGATCAAGCTGGTAGTACTTGCTGCCGCAGCCACAAACAACTGCGCTTGCCACTCTTCGCCTTGCGCTCAGCACGAATACCCTGTTGCAGCGGCTGTTGTTGGTGTGACGCGCTGCTGGCTGCTCCACTTCACGCGCCATCTGCGTTGCGCGGCGCTCCACCAGCAGCTATTGCTTGATATCGAAATATGTACATACATATATATTTATATGTATATATACACACTTACACACACTCATGTACTACCTTAGGGCCCTGCCATGCCACACACTCCGCGACGTCCAGCCTTCAGTTTGCGGCTGCCACAAATGGGCCGTTGCGCGGGCAGTCGCTTGTGAAGCTTCAAGTTCCATGTTGTCTTCAAGTTGTTGAGTGCGCACTGTCTTACACATTAAATTCACATACACACAAACACACATGGGTACAAATACGTTGCTATGGTTGTGCACACCCTGCAGGGAAAAAATGTTCTAGTGAAATTAATTTCTGGTTCACAGTAATTAATATTTCACCAGCAGCAAACTAGCTGGACGGACTGAATGACAGCGAGCAGGTTGCCATTAATTTGTGAGATATACTGACCACCAGCGCGCAGAACATTCTTTGTTGCCAGATGACTAACAATATTAACTGTATTATAGATCTACAAAATACAAGTTTCTTTCTTTCCAAATTATTTTTGCATTACAAATGTTTCACTTGTCAGTTGAATTAGTCTTTCATTCTCGTAGGGTGATCATAATATTAAACTCAAAACATATGCGCTTACAGTGTGCGTCAGAAGAAAGCTTACAATGTATTATATCCGGCCATTGTACTTTAGAATTCAGTATACACTCTTTTATTTTTATATTGAAGCACTTCCTTCTCTTAACTTCTAAAACTCTTTCTGTTAAGGTCTTTGGAGCTTTGGCTGTACGCCTATAATAGTTTTACATTTCGACCATTATCTGAAGACAAACAAAAGTGTGCGTTATAAGAGAATACTGAAATTTTGATGCTTAATTGTTCACACTACAATTGGTTTTATTTAACTGATCTGGGTCCCGATTCATAAGTTTCCAATAGTACGAGTTTTTATTTTATACTGCTACAATAACAAAGCATTTCAATGATTCGTAAAATCTTAAACTTCTAAAAGTCTCAGTTAATCAGTTATCTCTTTCTATAATTTTTTCTCTTTATTTCTCCATTTTTGGCGAGCACTCATTTTTAAGTTTCGGTTTTCATTTCGTCTCGATCAAACGACATAAGAAATGAAAAGAAAATATAAATTAAAGTTCTTCGTCTGCTACTATATCATAAATATTATTGTATTTCTGCAGGTATTCTGAAATCTATTCGTTTTCGTATACCTTCTATACCTTTATAACATAGCTATTTCAAAAGTCTCGGTGTTCAAAACCTCGGCCCCTGCCAGATTATCTAAAATAAATGCTTATTGTACTTATTTGAAAGATTTAAGAAGATTTGAGCGTTTCAGAAGCTTTAAGTTTTATCACAAGCTTTTAAGCATTTACAAACGCTCTCCAAACTTCTTTGAAGTTTGAGCTTATTGAACTTTATAGGATACGCTGAAACAAGTTGAGACGTTTGCTTTTAGAAACTAAATATGTCTCTTTTTATTTATATATGTAATAATTCCGATAAAATATAAGACCAATGGCAACAGAGCTTTCAGCTGACAGGAAAATAAATATATGGTTTTCAATTTTATAATAAAAGACATAACACAAGTATATAAACATTATTTAGACAAATTCTAGAGAGAAGTATCAAAACCGATTGACTTTAGCAAATGTTTTTGGGGATCGTAAGATATTAGAGTTATAACCATATTCAGAGTTCCATCATAATTATTTTGAATACTATAGTATATTTTCTTTTTGAGTATTTTTATAAAGGCTTCTCTATATATGATTGAAGCATAAACTTTCTTTTGACGCCCACAGTATTTTACTTAGCGACTTTGTTCTTTTTACGCATTACAATAAGTTCTGCAGCTGAATTTCATTCCGATTTTTGCTTGAACTTTTTTCCTTCTTTTAGCCTATTTTATAAATCATTTTTGTGTTTCGCTTTTATTTTTAAAACGACAAAGTTAAGTCCACCGACACTATGGCATCTTCTACGGTTCACTTTGGGGGTGAAGTTCGGTGCTCCGCAGGCGCGTGAGTGCGACTGTGGGGAGAACGTGCGGCCGCAGCGCAAAGTGGAGTTGACGTTTATTTATATTTATGTTTCGTGGAAGACACAATGAATTCACATCGGAAATCAATTGGCCATCATTGTTATATGCCACAATTGCTAGATTGAGTGCCGCAGCTCGATATCAGCATATCTTTAGATATACATACATACATAAATTATATAGAAATATATTTGTCAAGCAGCAGATATCATTACCAAGCAGCAGCGAGACATAATTACTTTGCGGATCGCTTGTTTCCGAAGCTGAAATATCTAATTCTCAGCGAAAAAAACCACAAGCTTTCTACTTGCAAAAATCTTTAGTGAATTTTCAATCAGACTCTGGAGATTTTCCCTAATCGGAATTAATTAGTTTGTGTGGTCGATTGAAAGGAGTAGAGCAGATAACTGATTTAATTATTTGTTGTTGTAGCAATAACATGTAATATTGTTTTGGCAAAGTTTTCTTACAAATCCATTATGGACGACCCAAACACCATAATAGAGGAGTGAAGACTAAAATCATGTGGATTTGACCTTTGGTGGTTCCCGATGGTCACAGTAAATTATTAATATTAATGAAAATTATACAGTAAAAGTTAGCCTGGTTTGGGAGTACAAAGCAAACTGAAAATGGCAAACTGATAAAAACTTTTATTTGCTTAATGCAACCAAATTGAAGCTACTTTCGGCGGGTGCACTGCCATTTGGTATATAATGGTGGAATGATTCACACGAGTGGTTACTAACCAAGCAGTGGAGAATAGATCAATCACCACAAACTGTAGACATGAGCTCGAGTTGCCGCATTAAATAGGTTATAATGGTAAATAAAATGTCGAATTGTTCTTGTGTTGTGAAAGCTCGGGTGAAAGCTCTAAAGAATTTGTATACGAAAAACGGAAGATTTCTTAAACAGATATCCAGCAAAAGCTAAGAAGCTTTAAAAAAATTGCGATTCTGAAAACTATGAAGAATTCTCTTTGAGTTTTTAATTATGTAAATAATCTCTGACAAAACTTTAAAGAGTTCTGTGTATTTGAAACTTTTCGCTTTGCATATTCCTAAATTGAGGGTCGTTTATATAGAAATTAAAAGCCAACACTATACGACAATTAATTGAGGAAGCACAAATTGAAGAAATTCTACTTTAATGTTTATATGAGATTTTGGTTGTTCATTTTTATGCCATAAACACCAATAACGCTTTAATGCAGAGCGCGCCATATGAGACTGCATTGAGAAAAATTATTTATTATCAACAGAGCGCTTTTGTTATTGTTGTTGTTGTTGTCGCGCATCCAACTGTTGGGCGTCACATTGGCACACTAAACAGACATAAGCACATGAAAAATAATAGCAACAATAACATTGCAATATTGAGCAAAGTTGAAGCAACAATATTAACAACAACAGCAACAACAACGAAGCTGTCCCTTCTCTAAGCAGAAGTGTTTGAATTATTAAAGATTTACTGTCAGCCGGTGATTGCATGTTGGCAGCCAGTCAAATGGGCGGTCGCACCACCACACAACAACAAGCATCAGCAGCTCAATTCTCAACCAGCGTCCAGCGTCCAAGTGGTACACACCCAATATGGCAGTCAGGCAGACCGACACACTTGTGTCAGTTGTGCTGTGCAGCTGAGAGCTTCGCTTGATTATTAATATTATAATAATATGCATGAACTGCTGTTGCTGTTGTCGTTGTAAGTTAATTTTTTTGTTATTATTATTTTTTTTTTGAATATGAAGTAATAATTGAATGCTAGAATGCTGGGCAATAATGAAGGCAACTCGGAGGCAGCGTTGCAACACGTTGCAAGCGCACACTTGCAGTGGCGTTGGAGAGAGGGATACGCGGGCAGAGGTAGCCACATACAAGATACGAATACAAGTATGTAAATATATACGCCAAGATTCATGTAAATATGCAGTTACAGTTGCTTGCCACCAAAGGCAGGGCAGCCCAGCTGACAGTGCGGCGTACTTGAGTGTTGCAACAACAATAAGCATTGAATTCAGACAGCAAATGGAAGTAATAAAGGCAGTACAATAAGAATATTGCAACGCRTTACATTATGAGAGGAATGCACCTAAATGCATATGTCTATATGTATGTATGCATAGATATGTCTATATATATATATATATATATATATATACATATATGTGTATGTGTTAATGACAGCGTCTGCATTTATTTGTTTGTTATTGCAATTATTTTCGTGTTTTCTCTTAATTTCATTTTGATCTTGTTGTTGATAGGATTATTCATTATTATCATAATTATATGAGGGTTGATGCAACAGATACTTTTTTGTAATATTTTTTTATTTTTTCTCAAAAGTTTCGACTTCTACGTTTGTTTGTATGAATTTAATAATAATAATGCCACAACTGTTTCTCAGCTGGTGATCCCAGCCCTTCCATGTTCTTACTTACTCGTTCACTTCATTCTCATACTCGTACATATATACAGTTATTTTGCTTATAAATATTTTGCGCTGCTCGCGGTATTCTGGTCAACACTGTTGCCAGCAATTTTTGTTGCTAGCCTTTTTTGTGCTTGCATCTGCGATTGTCTGATTCTGTTGCAAAGATTTCAAGTGGTGCCTTCGAAGTGCATAGTGTTTTTGCTCGAGGTCAAATGTATGATACCTTATACCTTTTTTTAACCCCAAACAAATATATGTATGTCAGTGCAGCATTATTCAGAGAGGTGAGTATTCACTTCGACAGCGTGATATCGCTAACTGTGCGCTCGAAATTAG